TGATGTATCAACACGATAACGGTAGCAAAATTTAGATTTTTCCACAGCAAATGTTTTATTTATATTCGCGAATGACCTATTAGCATAAAATCTATCGCTATTATCATTTTTAGGTAATTTTTTTTTTGCTGTTTGGTATTCAAATTCAGGTGCCAATGTTTTGGAATTTATTGCAATTGGCTCTTTAAAATTATCTGAACGGGCTTTTACTTGTTCGTAGTTGGAACAAATTGATTTAAGACGATTAATTGAAACTACGTTAGTACAATTAGCAAGAACATTTGCGTAGCATGGACGAATATTGTGTGGGAGAATTTCAAGTTGATCTTTCTCACTCATTCATCTTACTCAGAGTACTTAATCGAGAAAACATAGCTTGCATAACAACCATATAAATAATTATATTTTCAGATTCATCCTGCGTGCGGTTACGAATCTCGGTTATTATTCGATAGTCGTAGTCAAAAACATCAAAGTCTATACGAAGATGAGTAACTAGATCATTGAAGTTACTAATGTTATCTTTTACTGCCCGATACCAGTGAAGAGCGTCACCTACAAATATTTCAAAAGCGGATGAGTACAGTCTATCATCGGATATATTTCTAGCGGTACGAAATTCCTCAAGTCTTTGAATAAATGACCGAACACAAGTTTTACCATCGTATATAAGTTTTAATAAATCCGAGGACAAAGCACGATCACAGCTCACAGAAATATTTAAGTTTTCTAAATTTGAGGCAGCCATTACAACATCAAGCGAACTATTATCAGAATCTTTAGGATTTTCTGATTTCGTTATTTTATTAAACTGATTAGTATATTCATCAAAAGTTTTAGACACATATTTTAACTTTGGGATTCGTTCAGGGCTTTCAGGTGTTCTACGCGGCGTATTCGATGATAAATGTGGTTTAGCGAAGAACGCAATCGATCTATCAGATTATCATCTAGAGATGTAGATAAGATACCTAAATTCGATTTAACTTCATTAAGAGACTCTGTAGATACCCTTTATATCTTCAAAACAATAAACACATGAATCGGCAATATCGTTTGATAGATATAATTGGGCTAACTTGCAAACTTGACGTCTTAGTTCAATTACTGTACTTGCCGGTATTTCTCCTCTTATAATCACTTCATATTGTAATTCAGCTTTTTAAATAAACTTTTATTATTATTATTATTATTTAAACGGAGATAAAACTGATTGATAAATTTACAACAACGAATGTTAAAAATCTGAATACCCATGTGTTTATGCCCAAATTTGGTTATGTTTGAACGCCACCCAATTGCGTTCGAGCTGGCGCCTCGCCCGATGGTATGTAGGTGAGATAAGCGCCGATGTGGGGCGGGTGTGTGCGGTTTGCAGTGGTTCGACGCGTGGGCGATGATGGGAGAGTTGCCCACTGGCCCCGAAGCGGGGAACCCGCGTAGCTCGTTTATTGCGGCCGAAGTTCACGCGACCGTTGTCGGGTCCAGATAGTTAGATTAAGTACGTGTTACTGCGTTATTTAGTACTTTAACCTGTTCGGGGATGCGGAATTGTGCACGCGCGCGTCGAGTAGATATACGGTCTAGGATTCGAACCGCGCATTCCTTGTTCGAGAGCTTCTACCGGTTGATCGTCAGGAAATCTAATTGTGCCGTCGCTTTAAGTGCCCTTTTTTGTGTGTTGGTTGGCTTGTTCGTTTACGTGTCAACGAGGCGTATTTTGAATCTTTTCGCGATGTGGTGTTTTGGTGTCGAATGAAGGAAGTTATGTTTAACGCTGAATCGTATGACTCATTAAGAGATCGCTTTAATTCCCTATTTATAATTTTGTGATAAGTGAATCCGGGACATTGAATATCGAATTGTAACTACTGTCCTTACTGTGTCGGTTCTCACGTGTTCGATTCTACGATGAATGTGGAATTAGGCGAGCTTAAGTTAGTTAGATGTACAATGAAGCTAATAGATTGAAATAGTGACAAGGAAGAAAGAATGGGCCAGCGGTAGAGCCTGCTGGAACGATGCAGCATTTTGGGGCAGCCTGGAACTCGGCCGCTGCTGATCGCCTAAGGTGGTCAAGGTCTCACACATTTACACATCACTGAACACTACTTGCCATTCACCTTACACCCACTCACGGCCTGACCGAGCCTTGGTGCGAAGTTAGCTTCCGATAGTTGTACGTAATATGTGTTTCTAGCATTCTCCCATATAGCTTAGTATTATAGGAAATTTTTCCATATAGCCACTCGGGCTCGAACCTGCGGCTGCTCGTTGAATCTTCCGCTCATGGGCCCCGGATATTGAACCTTTGCAGGAGCAGCTGCGGGCCGTAACATTTTTGGTAGCAGAGTGTGGTTAGATTGGTCTAATTTGTATCTACAATCACGCCCGGCCTAATACGTAATAATAAAATTATTTTCCTTTGTTGCTTGCTTTTTGTTTGTTAGCGAGTAGATTGGAAAGCCGCGCCCGTAGGTTTCGCAAGCGGGAGTTTGCTAGAGCTAGATATGCGTTGGGTAGGTAGATGGTTATTATCACGTGATCGTATAATTATCGTTGTCGTATAATTATAGTTGATTAATTGTCGACGGGTCGGTTGTCTGAGCGAGGCATCTTTTGTAGATCGACTGTGTTGGCGACGCATTATTTTTGTATGTAATATTTATTATTAATTTTCTAATATGTTGTATCTTAGGTTAAGGTTTGTTTGTATAGTATAATAACGGTTATTTTATAAATTATGTGTGGGTAATCTTGTATGTATTTGTAATATTATCCGTAAGGTAGATAAGAAGGAGCGATCCCCCGCCAGCAATCTTGGCGGGAGTTGTTGCCCAGTCTCCGCTTGTGTGCACATATATACGTTTAAGTCGTCCCGCGCTTTGAAAAATCTAACGGTCATTTTGTATTTTCTCCGTGTGGCGCAATAAACATTTTATGTAACCAGCACGAGTTCTTTTTTTGCTATCGGTCCACCACAGTGGTCACTTCGGCCGGATCATAAATTCGAATGTTCAACACTCCACCGCGAACAATGACGAAAACTCGTGCTACAAGAAGGAAGGAGTTGGAAGGCACGCCAGACCAGGGACAGTCAACGGCTCCGCAACACCCATATGAGGTTGACAACAAACTGGATATAGAAAGAGACTCAAAGCCCAAGAGCTTGCCTGTTAAACCTTCGGCATCGTTGAAGTCTATACATTCAACATCATCGTCAGTACGTGCTCAGAAAAATAATTAGAGCTAGAAGCAGCCGAAGCAAAAGCCCGTATACAAATGGAGCTTATCGATAAAAAGCTTGAGGCTGATCTAGACGATTTGGAATACAGTTCACGCTCATCGAGGTCGCACACCAACGAGGAAGTTGAAAAGTGGTTGGAACGCAGTCAACAGCCTGAACATCCTGCCCCCGAGAATGGATTTACAAAGGGTGGGCCAAGTGCGGCGGCAGCAGGTGACGCCGCCGGCGGTAACGATAATGGTACAGTGCAAATGTTGGCTAGCGCACTCAAGAATTTAGCCGCTGCCTCAACATCTCAGCAGAATAATTTATTGAGACGTATATCCACACCGCAAGATTTACCAATGTTTAGTGGTGACCCTATGGACTGGTTACAATTCAAGTTGGCATACGAAGAATCCACACAGGTATGTAACTTCAGCCCTAAAGAAAATTTATGGCGTCTACGAAAATGTCTTCGTGGACAAGCAAAAGAAGCAGTTACGGCTCTTCTTATCACAGCTTCATCACCTGATATAGTGATGCCAACTTTAGAGTTGCAGTTTGGTAATTCAGACATCATCATAACTAGAATCATGCAGGATATAAGGAAGCTACAGCATTTTCTATTAAAGTAAAAAATTACGTCGCGGCTGTACGCGCATTAAACAAACACGAATATCTTCAAGATACAAGCGTCACTACAATAATATTAAGTAAGTTACCTACAGTACTTATTTCTAAATGGGCAGACTATAGTTATGCATTTATTGCCGGCGGAGTCAAGACAAAACTGGATATTCTGTCAGAGTTTTTAAATGAAGAAGCCGTAAAAATTTCTACATCTACGGTGCAGTTAATCAGCAATGTTCACAACATTAATAAATTTAAATATTCTGAACGCTCGCATAATACTTTATTAGTGAATAGTGAACAAAATAAAATCGCTTTGAAGTGTCAATACTGCAAAAAATCTCCGCATAATTTAACAGAATGTAAACAATTCAAACGGTCACTACGCAAGGACAGATGGCGGTATGTAAAACGTTACGGTATCTGCTACAAGTGTTTGGTATCGCGCCATAATAGGGATACGTGCCCGGCGCCGGTGTGTGACACAGACAACTGCGGACAAGCACATCATCGGTTGCTACACTATTCGGTAAACAGGGAACAAACTGTAAGTAACTGTGAAAATCTTAACTTAGTGCCTGTGTCTGAGAATGTAAGCCAATCCGAAACGATTACAAATATTAATACAAATTGTAAAGCGTTATTAAAAGTAGTCCCTGTAAAAATTCACGGTCCGAACGAATCAATTAGGGCAAGTGCGCTGTTGGACGACGGTTCGACGATATCGTTAATAAGCAGCGCGCTCGCTAAGCGCGTTGTACTCAGCGGCCAGCAAACGATGCGCGTGAGTGGCGCGTTCGATTCTAGTGAATTAGTGTGTGAAGCGACTGTAATGAACTTTAAGATATCTAATTGTAATGGCGATGTGTATACTTTAATTGCACGTAGTGTAGATAAACTTAATTTGCCTAAATATAACAATTTTTCTAGAAGTAATTGCAATCAATTTAAGCCCCTTTGTAATATTAAAGATCAACTTTGTAATGTTTCTTCTGCACCTGAATTGTTGATAGGCCAGGATAATTGTAACTTATTATTGCCTTTAAAACTCATTATAGGTAAGGCTAACGAACCATGTGCGACCCTCACTCCGCTCGGTTGGTGTGTGCATGGACGTGTACCTGCTCATTTGGCTTCGGAGATGACCGGTCACATTAATTTACATCTTGGTGAGGTCTTGGAAGCAGCTCAGATGGAACAGCGCATGTTGGCGGAACTCCATGATGAGGTACATCGATCCTTGAACTTAGAGTCGTTAGGGGTGTCACTACAGCCACGACAAAATAAAGAGGATGTCCAAGCGTGGTCACATCTGGAACGGACAGCAACTCTGGTTGAAGGCAGATGGCAAGTCGGCTTACCTTGGATCAATGAGAACAGTAAAATGCCTGAATCCTTCTCCAACGCCATGGTGAGGTTAAGTGGTGTCGAAAGGAAAATTAAATTAAATAGCGATTACGGGGAAAGGTATAAGGATAGGGTGGCTCACCTGTTGAATAATGGATATGCTGAGGTAGTGTCCAATCCAGCAGCTGCTCAAAATAATCCCAGGACCTGGTATCTGCCCCATTTCGGATTCGACAACCCTAATAAGAAAAAGCTTCCTTTGGTCTTCGACGCGGCGGCCAAATCAAACGGATTGTCCCTAAACGATTACCTACTTAAAGGTCCAGATCTATGAATATCATTACTCGGGATCATGTTCCGCTTCCGGGAATATAAGGTGGCATTAACCGCAGACATAAAAGACATGTTCCTAAGAATAAAAATTCGTCCTGAAGACAGAAACGCTCTTCGTTTTCTTTGGAGAGACAACCCAAAAGATCCCATCAAAACATACGAAATGTCATCTTTAATTTTCGGTGCAAACTGTTCACCCTTTATTGCACAGTTCGTAAAGAATAAAAATGCAATGTCGTTGCCGTCAGCTGTGGATGCGATTTGTAAGCAACATTACATGGATGACTATATAGATAGAATGGAGGATGAACCCACAGCAATGAAATTAGTGCAAGATGTTTCTTTCATTCATTAACAAGGCGGTTTTGTTATCCGAAACTGGACAAGCAATAGCTTAGAGGTTTTAAACAGCGAACCTAAGGAGTCTCTCGGTATAGCGGCCGTACGGTTTAAAATCGGCCAGCACGAAGACGGTGAGAGGACACTTGGATTGATTTGGTATCCAGATAACGACACGTTAGGGTTTGATGTCTCGTTCAAGCGCATTCCGGAGAACATTAGCAGTGGTAAAACGCGGCCTACTAAGCGGGAGATGCTCAGAATAATTATGTCAATATTTGACGTATATGGAATTTTATCTCAAATCACTATAAAAGGAAAAATAATGTTACAGGAAACTTGCAAGGCTAACATTGGATGGGACGAAATAGTTTCAGACGCTATATACAAAAAATGGTGTGAATGGATGAAACAATTAAAATGGATAAATAATTTGCGCTTACCGAGATACTACTAAGCAGCCGCGAGTAGAAGCGAGACGGCAATAGGATCGATTGCGGATACATACGAGTCGCGGGCGCAACGGGCTGCCAACGGTTATAGCAACCTACAGCTACATATATTTTGCGATTCATCTACGCAAGCTATGTGCGCGGTAGCGTACTGGCGTTGGGTGCATAATAACAAAATATATGTATCGTTTATAGCTAGCCGCTGTCGTGTGGCGCCGGTGAAGTTCATTACGATTCCGCGCCTGGAACTTCAAGCCGCAGTACTTGCTGCTCGTTTATCGCGTACAATAATTACCGAACATAGAATCAAGCCTCAGAGGAAAATATTCTGGAGTGATTCTAGCACTGTCTTACATTGGATAAGGAACAATAATAAAAACTATAAGACATTCGTAGCTAACCGTTTAGGAGAAATTGACGAGCTTACGAAAACAAATGAATGGAGATACATTCCTACGAATTTAAATATAGCTGATGTTGCCACCCGGGAAGAAGTTAATTGCAATTCAATTACTACAGAGTGGCTCAACGGCCCAAAATTTCTATAAAGTTCTGAAAATTCGTGGCCCGTGGAATCTTTTATGCCCGATGTATGCAGCTCGCAGTTGGAGTATGTGAGTACAATACAGGAACATTCTGTAGTAGACTTACCTGTGCCAGATCCAACTAGGTTTTCTTCTTGGCTTCGTCTGCTGAGGACTACCGCCTTAGTATTAATATTTATAAAAAGATGCAGAAAATTTACAAGTAACTGTCAGATTAATTGTACCGATATGGAGGAAGCTGAACGACTTCTGCTCAGATACGCTCAGCTGCAGTCTGTTCCGGAGGAGATAGCTGCAATTAAGAATAGAAAACCGTTAGAACGAATCAGTAGGCTACACATCTTTGCTTTGTATCTTGAAGATTATGGAATTTTGCGCGTTAGTAGCCGTATAGATGCTGCCGCTGATTTATCTCTGGAAATCAAAAGACCTATCATATTACACGGACGGCATTCCATATCGCGACTAATCGTTAAGCATTACCACAAGAATGCAGCGCACGGATTAAATGAGATGGTGGTAAACGAGCTAAAACAAAAATATTGGATCTTGAAGCTACGACCCACTGTACGTACCGTCGCGTCCAGCTGCATGTTCTGTCGCATGCAAAAGGCTAAGCCAGAACCACCACGAATGAGTGACTTACCTCAGCCCAGATTGGACCACCATCAACGACCATTTACAAATTGTGGCGTTGATCTGTTTGGCCCACTCGATGTGACTATCGGACGAAGAAGAGAAAAGAGGTACGGAGTACTTTTCACTTGCCTCACCGTGCGTGCTGTTCACATAGAGGTGGTCAATTCTTTGACTACGGACTCTCTTATAATGGCATTAAGAAGGATGTCAGCACGTAGAGGTTGGCCCAAGCATATTTTCTCTGACAATGGTACTAACCTCAGAGGTGCGAACACGGAGCTCTTAAAATCCATTAAGGAACTGGATGAGGTTGCATTGAAGGATCAAGCACTAAACTTTAGCACAGAATGGACATTTATTCCACTTTCCAGTCCACACTGGGGTGGGGCTTGGGAGCGCCTCATACGGACTGTAAAAAATGCTCTAAAGGTCGTACTAAAGGAACGTGCATCTCGAGAAGAGGTCCTTATAACCTTGTTGGCTGAAGTCGAAAACTTAGTAAACAGTCGACCGCTCACTCATGTCTCCGTGGAGCCAGGAAGTAATGAGAGCTTAACTCCCAACCATTTCCTGCTGGGAACGTCCTCCAATTTGCCCACAATTGGGGTTTATGACGATTCAGACATCTACCTCAGGAAACAGTGGCGTATCGCACAACGCCTGGCGGACAAATTTTGGGAGCGATGGGTTAAGGAGTTTTTGCCCGAGCTGTTACCAAGACGTAAATGGAATCACGAACAAAGGTCTTTACAAATTGGGCATCTAGTACTAGTCGTTAGTCCAAATGAGCAGCGTGGCATATGGCAGCGCGGAGTGGTCGAAAGGGTTTTTTCTGGCAAAGATGGTAGGACTAGGGTGGTTCAAATAAAGACTCTCTCCGGGACTCTTGTTCGTCCAGCGACACGCGTCGCCAGAATACCCATGGAAGATGAGTGTCGCTGAGGCGACACTGGGGTGGGGCGTGTTGGCGATACATTGTTTTTGTATGTAATATTTATTATTAATTTTCTAATATGTTGTATCTTAGGTTAAGGTTTGTTTGTATAGTATAATAACGGTTATTTTATAAATTATGTGTAGGTAATCTTGTATGTATTTGTAATATTATCCGTAAGGTAGATAAGAAGGAGCGATCCCCCGCCAGCAATCTTGGCGGGAGTTGTTGCCCAGTCTCCGCTTGTGTGCACATATATACGTTTAACCCTTAATTTGGCAAGGAAAAAAAAGTTAAAAATACCTATTTTTTTGTTAATATTTATTTAGTAGTGAGTAAAAACATACGAAAAAAAATAATATAAAAAATATAATATTCTTATTTTCGCGAAAAATCAATGTCCGCCACTACGGCCATTGCCAAATATGTAAAAACTGACTTGCTGATTTAACTGTCCGGTCTGACGGACATTATCAATTTAGGGTAAAATAATAAATCCAACTATTTTAATATTTTATTAAGAATATAATAACTTATGACTAAAAAATAAATGCCATCTTCCTTTTTCCATTTGCCTTCATTCGCCTTTCTGTGAACCAACCAAGCATTGTTTGCACAAATGTCCGGTAATTGACCAAAAATGCCCATGTACCAGCGTCGTGTTTTAAATGGCGTTTTGTACAGCTATATCAAAATATCAGCTAGGTCACCTCCACCCATATGTTTGTTGTACTGTCGCACAATTTGTGGACACTGTACTACTACTGTCTTCTTCACGTCCTTCAAATATCGCAAGATCTTTTCCATAGGCTCAGCCGCAGCAGTAGGGGAATAGTTGCTGTAAGTAGAAGGACATTCATCATGCATTTCAGATTCAGAGTCTGATTTCTCACTAGCATTTGATGGAGCATGCTTGTTAGGAACTAAGGCTAATACTCTTGACGCACGTGTGTGCTGTTGACAAGCAGAAAAGAAAAAAAATAAGAAAGCACCCATAACCGCAAATTAAACGAACTTTGGTGATGTCCGTCCCAGCGGACAATGTAATTTGGAACAACATTTCTAGATCTTTGGCAATGTACGCTGGGACGGACAAAGAGGTTAAGAAGCAAAAAAAAACCAATAGAACACATTTCATACGTTAGGAATTGCGAGTAAACATAATCACACATATATATTCTATAACCCAATGCAAAATACTTTTACTTTTGTTACACAAAACATGAAAAATATAAAATTTTTTACCTTACTAAAAACAGATAATCGCCTCCTCGCCGACATTTTGTTTTCGAGTGACAGATACAGTTTTGCCAATCTAGAAATTCCTTTTGCACAATCTTATTTATAGAACAACAAATAATTGCCAGTAAAAGAAAAAGTTTTAATCCATTTGCAAGACGCACAGGATTTTTTTGAAACTTATGTCCGTCCCAGCGGTCAAAATCAAATTAAGGGCTAAGTCGTCCCGCGCTTTGAAAAATCTAACGGTGATTTTGTATTTTCACCGTGTGGCGCAATAAACATATGTAACCAGCACGAGTTCTTTTTTTGCTATCGGTCCAGCACAGACTGTGATGTGTATCTTTATTTGTATTGTGGTTTGTATTTGATCTAATAAATAGTAATTTGTATTTGTGTAATTTGTATTTAACTTGATTTGATAGGAACGGTATTTGTTACTCGTTAATTTTTTTTTGTATTTGTTATTTGCTAATTTGTAATTTATATTTGAGCCGCGTAGTAATTTGTACCATGCCGTTTGTGTCTGGGTGCGAAAGGCGTTTCCACTCAGGGCTCTCCCGGGCCCTCGACTCCCACGGGCAGGGGCGCTCAGCCGCGTCCCCTGTCGAGGGGTTGTTCCCCCAGGGGCGGGGGTCGTCACCCCCGCCCCTCAGTATGTTGAGAGGGACTTCACTGCCACTCAGCGGTCAGCTAGACCCTTCTCACCCGCGTCAGCTGAGTGGCCGCGGCTCGGGGTACTACCGTTCCCCCTTTGATGTAGGCAGCCCCAGCTAGGTAGCTGCTGCCCTAGCTCCCACTGCGGCCGCCTCCACTAATTCTGTGAGCCGTCAACAGCTCACTTGTCAAACTGTTCTATTGTCAACGGCCTCAGTGAGGGTGTACAACCCGAGCGTCGATTGTTTAACGGTACGCGCTTTATTGGTTCCGGGTTCACCACCGGGTTGGCCTCTGCTTAGTTATTGGGAAGACTAGGGAGCGTTGAATTGCGCTGTTAGGGATTGTTAGATTTGGTTTTGGTCGAGCACTTAATTAACGATGCTTTGAATTAAAATTAAAAATGGTTTGTGCCTTCCGTGAAATGTTCCTATTTGTGGCGGTTGTGATTAAGAATGCGAATTTAATGTGCTCTTTGAATACTTATACATATGTTTTGTAATTGTATTTGATCACGGTGTCTGTTTTGTTGAAAGGAAAATTTTAATTCATTTGAAATTGAATGACGCGCTATTTGAATATTTGTACGTATGTTTTGTGATTGTGTTTGATCATTGTGTTTTGTTGAAAAGAAAATTGAAATTGGATAACCCTATTTGTGCCAAAATGAATAAGAGTCATTCCTCTTTTGGGTTTCACATTTTGTTGGCACTGTCTAAGATATTTATTTGAAATGAGAAATAGGGCTGTCTGTTACGTTTATCGTTTTGTTTAATTTGGAAATTGGATAACCCTATTTGTGCCGATCGGAATAAGAGTCATTCCTCTTTTGGGTTTAACATTTTGTTGGCAGTTGGCACTGTCTAAGATATTTATTTCAATGAGAAATAGGGCTGTCTCTTACGTTTATCGTTTTGTTTAATTTGGAAATTGGATAACCCTATTTGTGCCGAAAGGAATAAGAGTCATTCCTCTTTTGGGTTTCACATTT